GTGGATCGCGCCACATCGCCGATGCATCGCCGATGTTGCCCGGATGTGGAGCCAGAGTTTGTGCGCGCCGATGGCGCCGGATGCATTCCCGACGTCGCCCATGCATCGACGATGCATTGGCGATGCGGCGCGAGCCTCCGACCCCATCTGCTCGGACCCCATCTGGGAGGCCTCTAGCTACGGGTCCGAGCGTCGTTGGGGCATCGGACACCCCAGCAGCGCCGTCAGATTCTGAACCCTGGCCGATTTCGCAGAAGTCGGGCCTGCAGGGATACAGTCGACCCGCAGAGGAAGGATGGGCAACCTTCCCGAGGGTACGCTTGCATCCTTGCCTCCTCGGCCCATCCTGAGCCACATTCGTTGGCCGCGCACCGCTCGAAAAGTTTCGAAGTGGGCGTCCAAGCACCTTGCCTCCTCATCGCGCATCCTCCCGTAGCACTCCGCAGATGCGGATACGAGCGAGGGGACGGTGGGGACGTCGGCGGTCTGCGAGAATCTGCAGAAGCCCGCCGCAGGCGCCAAAGTTTCACAAATTATGCAACGAGCCCGCCGCTGGAGCCGATTCTTTCGTTGAACCAATAATGTGGGTAGTTCGCGGGTGGGTCGCAAATGGGTCGCGGCTGTGTCGCGGGTGTGGCGCGGGTGGGGCGTTGTTGGGTCGCGGGTGGGTCGCGGGTGGGTCGCGGGTGGGTCGCGGGGTGGGTCGCGGGTGGGTCGCGGGTGGGTTGCGGGTGGCTCTCGGGTTGGGTCGCGGGTGGGTCGCGGGTTGGGTCGCGGGTGGGTCGCGGGTGGGTCGCGGGGTGGGTTGCGGGGTGGGTGTCGCAGGTCGGGTCGCGAGGTCGGTCGCGGGTTGGGTCGCGGGTGGGTCGCGGGTGGGTCGCGGGGTGGGTCACGGGTGGGACGACGACAACAATTAAGAAGAAGAAGAAGAAGAAGAAGAACAACAACAACAACAACGCAACAATGCAACAAGCAGAATCCTCACTTCAGTCACGCACCCAGTGACAATCAATGACCGTTCGGCCCCCTAACTCTGATGGTACGGGCCGACTGCAGGGTTCGCCTGCGGTTGCCCAGGAGAGGGGCCTGCTGCTGGGCAGGCGACGGGGGTGCGGAGGGAGCCGCGGCTCGCGGCTCGCGGCCGAAGCCGCCGGGGCCGTTCTTCTCGAGCGCGTCGGCGCAGCACGCGCATCTCTGGGCCTCCCAGGTGGGGTCGGAGTAGAATGGGGTCGGAGGATCGCGCCGCATCACCGATGCATCGACGATGCGGCTCGATGCGGAACCCGACTTTCTCCACGCCAACGTCGCCGATGCGTCGCCGACGTCTCCGATGCATCGCCGATGCATTGGCGATGTATCGCCGATGTATCGCCGATGCGGCGGGATCCTCAGACCCCATCTACTCGGACCCCATCCAGGAGGCTTCTGGCATCACGCCTCGAGAAGAGAAAAGCGCAGAGCTGCGTGATCCAGGAGAGGCGTCGGACGGGGCCAGGACGAGGATAAATCCGTTGCAGAGCGCTCCAAAACGCTCTCGGAGCGTTCCGGAACCTCTGAGAAGCCCGCGGCGCCCGAGACATCCTCCAGGGCCGCTGGATCTCACATATTCTCGATGTCTCCTCACCCGAATTGATCCTCGTCTGGGCTTCGCCTTACGAGGCGGGAGCACGCATGGGGGCCGCATAGTTCGTGAGGCCACGTGGGGCGATCCGGAGGGGGCCCTGCCTTCGAGGAGTCGGAGCGGCGGAAGCTGTGCGAGGGTCCGCGGAAGATGACGGCAGTCATTCGATGGCGGTTCCACCAGCGGAAAGTTGGTGGAGACCGGCGAAGAAGTTGACATCCCCCAGGGAGGCTAATGCCGCGATGCCAAGGGTTTTCAGGAGTCGGTCACGTACAAACAGAGTCCGAGCAGAATGAGCAGGTTGCGCTTGCATCTTGCCTTCCTCAAGGCATGCAAGCACGCACAGGTGACATCGCATTGCATGTGCGTGCCATGACCGTCACATTAATCGTCCTCTCCCACGCTCACGCCGCCTCCGCGACCGTTGTGCTATGGTGGGGCTCTCTCTGGGGCCTCCTGAGCCGTGGAGAGGCTCTTGGGGGCCTTGTGGACACTCTCGAAGGCCTCGGGATCTCAACGCGGGGCCATCCTGAGCTTGAACATGAATGCAGCATCAATCAGAGTTACGGGGCCGAACGGTCATTCATTGTCCCTGGGTGCGTGGCTGATGTAGAGATCCGTGGTGAGGATTATGCTTGTTGCGTTGGTGCTGTTGTTGGTGGTGTTGGTGTTGTTGTTGGTGGTGGTGGTGGTGGTGTTGGTGTTGGTGTTGTTGTTGCTGATGCTGCGGTTGTCGTTGACGTTGTTGTTGGTGGTGTTGTTGATGCTGTTGTTGTTGGTGTTGTTGTTGCTGGTGGTGTTGTTTGTGCTGTTGTTGTTAGTGGTGGTGGTGGTGTTGCTGTTGTTGTTGTTGTTGTTGTTGTTGTTGTTGTTGTTGGTGTTGGTGTTGTTGTTGTTGTTGTTGTTGTTGCTGTTGTTGCTGTTGTTGTTGAACTCTCACTTCTGAAGAATAACTATTGTTGGTCCCCCCCGTCCAGTGCACACCCTTCCTGGGGTTCGCACCCTATTTATCATCATGGGAAGTCTTGAGGGTCAAACTGTGTCGTTGGCCTCCGGTTTACAACAGCAACGGTTTCCGCCTGAGACTTTCTCACAATTTAGCCAGGACTTCCGCTCCCGCCTGAGACTTCCTCGCATTTTATTAAGGGATTTCGCGATCTCGTCTGGGACTTCCTTACAATTTATTCAGGAATCGCTCTCCCGGCGCTCTGGAGTCGCGCTCTCGCTGGAGACATGCTTACAATTAACTGAAGAATAGCACCCTTGCGTTGGAATTTCCTGCAATTTACTCAAGCGCCGCGCTCCCGACACCCAGGCACCCAGGAGTCGCGCTTACCTCGGTATCGGGATCTCGCTGCCCTTCGTGGCCCCGTTGCAGCCCTTCGTGGCCCCCTCGCTTTGTTCGGTGGCCCCGTTGCAGCCCTTCGTGGCCCCCTCGCTGCCCTTCGTGGCCCCGTTGCAGCCCCTTGTGGCCTCCTGGCTGCCCTTCGTGGCCCCGTTGCAGCCTTTCGTGGCCCCATCCCTTTGTTTCGTGGCCCCCCAGCGATATTTCATCATCCAAAAGTACGCCGCCATCCCGACCCCGGTCCTCTCCGACTCCGGTCCTTGTCTCTCCGACCCCGGCTCCCACCTCTCCGGTTCTCGTGTCTCCGACTCCAGTTCCCACCTTTCCGGCTCCGGCTCCGACACCCGCTCCCGTCTCTCCGAATTCCGGTTCGTCGCAGCAAACATTCATATCATCACCAGATTGGCATGTAGGGGATTCTTATCCCGGCGGTACTTCCGACTGTGGGGCGGCGTGCCAGCTCACGGATTCCTGCGCCGACCGGCTCACCGACTCAGGTGCCGACCAAGTCGCCGATTCCCATGCCGACCAACACACCGACTCCAGCGCCGATCAGCTCCAGATGAGCCACAGAGCCGCATCACGAGTGTGAAGCAGGAGCAGCCGCATCACGACTGTGACGCAGGAAAAGAGCCACATTTCGTTGGCGCCATTCTCGTCGGCCTGATGCGTGACAGAAGCGGGGGGCAATGGCATTTGCCACTTGTGCCACGCAACCGCATCGCGACTGTCCCCTACCCAGCACAGCGCTTCGTGTCCCCATAGTGAGCTCCACCGAATGCCCCAGTGGCGGTGTCCACATGCGTCTCCCCCGCCCTGCACAACGCTTCGTCACCTCATAGGGAGCTCCACCGAATGCCCCAGCGGCGGTGTCCACATGCGTCTCCCCCACCCAGCACAGCGCTTCGTGCCCCCATCGGCAGCTCCACCGAATGCCCCAGCGGCGGTGTCCACATGCGTCTTCCCCGCCCAGCACAGCGCTTCGTGGCCCCATGGGGAGCTCCACCGAATGCCCCAGTGGCGGTGTCCACATGCGTCTGCCCCACCCAGAGCAGCGCTTCGTGGTCCAATAGGGAGCTCCGCCGAATGCCCCAGTGGCGGTGTCCACATGCGCCTCCCCCACGAAGCACTGCGTTTCGGGGCCCCATAGGGAGGTCCACTGAATGCCCCAGTGGCGGTGTCCACATGCGTCTCCCCAACCCAGTACAGCGCTTCGTGGCCCCATGGGGAGCTCCACCGAACGCCCCAGTGGCGGTGTCCACGTGCGCCTTTCCCACCCAGCATAGCGAGTCGTGGCCCAATAGGGAGCTCCGCTCAATGCCCCAGTGGCGGTGTCCACATGCGTCTCCCCCACCAAGCACTGCGTTTCGGGGCCCCATAGGGAGCTCCACCGGATGCCCAGGAGCAGACGCATCACGATTGCAACGCAGAGAAGATGATAAATCTATTAGCTCGCCGCCTCCCGCGCCGGTCAGCCCACCGACTCACACACCGACTCCCGCACCAACCAGTTCGCCGATCCCCGAGCCGACCAGATTGCCGACTCCCGCACCCACCACCACACCAGCACCGCAACGAAATTCGTGACGCTGGGCTCACCGCTTCCCGCGTCGTATGGTTCGCCGACTCCCGCGCCGTCCTGCTTGCCGACTCCCGCGCCGAGTGGCTCGCCGCTTCCCTAGCCGACCAGCTCGCCGACTCCCGCACCGACCATCACACCAACACTAGCACTGTGATGCGTTTTATGTTTTCCGAGCCAGGGGCAAGGATTCCCGCATTGCCGCATGGTCCATCTCACCGACTCCCACACCGACCAGCCTGCCGGCTCCCGTACCGGCCAACTCACAGACTCCCGCGCCGATCAGGTCGCAGCAAATTCCCGCACCGACCAGCTCACCGACTCCCGCGCCGACCAGTTCGCCGACTTCTGCGCCGACTGTGCCTCCGACCCCTGCTTCGACGCCAAACGTCGAGCGTTACGACGGCGTGCGATGATAATTTGGGGGGTCTGGTTGCTCCGGGCAGCTGTTTGTAATGGGGGGAGTGCGCCCAGATGGAAATGCCGCAATATGGCTTACCGGTCTAGCAGCAATCCGACTCGAACACCGCATATATGTATTAGTGGGAAGAGTATTCGGATGGATGATCGACTTTAATCGGCTGGTCGGCTCATCGTGGCTTTCATTATGGGATGACTCCAGGTGGACCGACTCTATGCACGCGCCGACCCGATCGCCGACTCCCGCGCCGACCAGCTCACCGACACCCGCTCCGACCAGCTCACCGACTCCTGCACAGACCAGTCCACCGATTTCCGCGCCGACCAGCTCGCGGACTCCTGGGCCGACCAGCTCTCCGACTCCCGCGCTGACCAGCTCACCATCACAGATGGCTGGCGAGGCTCTGGAGGCCAACGGATTCCAGCAATACGGCAATAAGGGCAACATGATTGAGGACAGCATCAGGGCAACCACATCCAGGAGAGCGCTGCACGATCGATGCCAGTTGCACGGCGTGGAGGAGCACTGTGACGATCCGCACTGCGACGTACGCGGGTTCTGAGGACCAGGCTCGGCGATTTCTGAGGGCATTATGGTCCGTGGCGAGCCTAGCAACGAGGCTCGGCGCATGCTTGTCCTTCAGTCCTCCCCCTTCCTGCTGTTTCCTTGTCCTTTCTTCCTGTGCACGCTAGGTGTTTGTGTTGTTGTTCTGTCTGCATGGTTTTTGGCCTCCTCGTGGCCGCAGTTAGCCGACCCCGTTTTGGCTTCGACGCCGCGGGCTTGGTTTTTCTGCCGCCCCCAGGGTTTCCAGGCCACCCCAGGGCGCTGCTGTGCCCTGCCAGAACAATGCCGTAGGCTTACATGAGTTTGTGAGTTTGCCATACAAGGCGCTACTTCCGTAGCTGTCGTCCTGCCTGTCCTCTTCAACTGCTCTCCTGCACGTGGGGCCTGGTGGCCGTGATCGTGCTGTCTCCCGTCGGCGTCTGCTCTCTCTCTCTCTGGCTCTTCCTCCTCCTGTGTCTTCGGGGGCATGGTCCCTCCTGTAGTCGTGTGTTCTTATCTATTAATTCATGTTGAATGGTGTCCGGGACGGTGGGATCGTCCATGGCGCTGTGCGCACGCCGCCTTAGGAACTGACTCGACTTTTGTTTGGCCCTCTCCCTCCTCCTCCTCCTCCTCCTCCTCCTCCTCCTCCTTCGGCTCTTGTCTGTTTTCCGCCTTTTCCCCCTCCTCCTCCTCCTCCTCCTCCTTCCTCTTTCTTCGTCCGCCTTCCCTGGCATCGGCGTGAAAGCTGTAGGGTAATCCACAGCGGCCGCCGGGCCACGCTCTGAAGTCACTTTTTAAACGTCGCTGGCTGTCTGACGTACCTCTTGCTTGGACGAGCTGGCCGAAGCCCGTTGCTGACGAAGAGGCCCCTAGAGGGCACGGCGGAGTGACAATCGTTCGCAGGACTGCTGCTCTACGTCGGTGGACGTTTTAATACCAGTCAGATGCGCGGCGATCGAGGTAGCTTTTTGGGGATTTAAAAACATCTCCCCTGGACGGCGGCGCGAGAGCGCGAAGCGCTTCGCGCAGCGCGCAGCGCGAAGCGCTGGGCAACCTTGTGCAGCGGAGCGATGCGTCAGCTGCTCGCCGGCCGTGGAGCGTGTTTCGCCGGGCCTGCCGCCGCCGCGCGCCAAGCCGAGCAAGAGAGTGCCCGACGCTATGACCTTCCCCGCCGGCGCGCCCGGGGAGCCTCGCCGCGGCGGTGCGCAGCCTTCGAGCGCAGGGGCCGACGGCGAGAAACACCGCCCGGGGCGCCCGACGGGGCCAGCGCCCAACGTCGAGCAGTGGCGAAGCGTCCTGGCTTGCCTACAGGCCCACCAGAAAATGTTATAAGAACCTTTTCGTGGTCTGCGCGACAGTTTCTTCAAACCAGAATTTGTGGCCGAGACTGTCACGTGGTAGCCCTTCGGCCTTATGTTCTGAGAGCGCGTCCTGGTGCCAACAGGAATGCCCCGGACGGTCGGTCCCTGCTCAACGGCGCGAGTGCGCGGAGCCGAGGGCCGGGCCGTCCAGATATGCTGCGCGGCCCCGCGTCCAGACCCCTTTCGGCCCTGCTCTCGCAGGGGGGGTACTTGGGGGGGAGGGGGGAGGGCTTCTCAGAAGCAGCCCTGGCTCGCAAAAGCGCCCCGTGTTCCTCAGAGGGCGCAAGTCTTCTCTACAGAAGCCCGGGCCGGCGCCTTCGGAGAAGCAGCCTTCTTCTGAGAAGCCTTTCCCGATTCCCCATACCCAGACATGCGACGTCCTGAAAAACGGGGTCCCTGGAAGTCCCGACTCTTTCCCCGGGACCGGTTTCTCATCTTGCGTCGTTTTCTGACGGTCTCGAGGCCCGGCAAGGGCTCCCCGAGGCCGAATTTGGCCAACAAAATCCCGTCCTGATTTTTTCACGACGCGATCATGTTTGGGTCCCCTTCTTCGCGCGCCGCCAGGCAGTTGTTTGCACCTGAAGGCGGGTATCTTCGACGTCGCCAACCGAGCCCCCAGACAGCTTCGCACAGCTCACGCTTGGGCGTCACGATGGGCCCCCCGATTTCAAGGCCGAGGCGCGCTCACCGGGCGTCAAAATCCTTACGTTAAGTTGGGCCTGCCTTTCTACAGGAAGAACATTTCAATAAAATAGTCAACACATGGTCAGGGAACGATTGTTTGACTACTTTTGACTATTTGAAAGAATGTCTGGACAATTTCTCATGTTTCGCCCGAAATCCGTCTGTAGAGGACATGCCCGACCTAACTCTTACGGACAAACTATTTAGGAAGCTTCCGCAAGATTTGCGTCCCAGCCCAGGTGGAGTCCGAGTACAGTGGGAACCTGCGCCAAGAAATACACACTGCCTGCCTCTAGGGTGCCCTCGGTTTCTTGGGGGTTGCTGGCTTCGCTACGGGAAGCGTGACGCTCCCGCACCAAAAATATATGGACTTCCTGGGGTCTCAGGGTTGGGTGTCTTGTGGAAGGTTTCTTGTGGTCGAGCTCCTACTGTACGGACAAGCTGCTTAGGGAGCTTCCACAATCTTTGCCTCCAAGCCCAGGTGGAGTCCGAGCAGATGGGTTCGGAGGATCGCGCCGCATCACCGATGCACTGCCGATGAACCGTCGATGCATCGGCGACGCATGCGATGCATCGGCGACGTGGGCGTGGGGAAAGCGTTGGGCTCCACATTGAGCCGCATCGCCGATGCATCGGCGATGCGGCTCGATCCTCCAACCCCATTTGCTCGGACCCCACCTGGGAGGCCTCTACAGAGACCTCGTTTCTTGATCTCCATCAGTTCAACGGCCAGCCCAGGGGGGAAGTGAGAGGGGGCGGGTCTTCTTCTCAGAAGGCTCGGAAGTCCTCTGGCCATCTGAAAAGTTACCTGCGCCTTCCCCTAGAGCGCAGAATATGTCAGAGGGCCAGACGCCTTCGAAGAAGCCACGCCGCCTTCTGAGAGGGCCTCCTCCTCCTCTTCCTCATCCTCCTCCTCATCCGCCTCCTCCCTTTCCTCCTCAGCGTCCTCCTTTTCCTCCTCCTCCTCCTCTTCCCCCTCCTCCTCCTCATCCTCCTCCTGCTCCGCGTTCTCCTCCTCTTCCTCCTCCCCCTCTTTTTCCTCCTCCTTCTCCTCCTCCTCTTCCTCCTCCTCCTCCTCCCTCCCACCCCTCGCTCGCCGCTGATCTGTGAAGACCTCGACCCCTGGTCCCCATCCCTGCACGGGCAGTGCGGGAGGGGAGGGCGCGTCCGCCCGCTTGGCGGCCCCTCCGGCGGCTGCGCGATGCCCCCCTTGCCGCTGGAGCTGGCCGAGGAGCCCCAGGCAGACGTCGGCCTCGTCTTTCTTCTTCCTCCTTGGCAGAGGAGTGGCGAGCCGGCAAAGTCCAGTACAGTCGGCCCGAGGTGCAATATTCGGGGAAGAAAAAACAGCATAAACATCAACTTTCGACGGCCCACGCGGATTTCTCGGATCAGTGTTGGGCGAAAGTTTATGTGTATGCAAGTTTTCTGATTATTCTTCGTCGTCTTATGTTTATGACTATTATAAGTATTATTATCATCATTATTCTTCTTAGTTTAAAGATCGTACCCTGATGTTTTGTCGTGCGGGCTGGATGTTTTTCGTCCTGGTGTGGGGTGCCCTTTGATGCTCTGTATGTTTCGGCCGGCGGAGGGTCCCATGTTCTTGAAGGATGTTCTACTGTCCTAGGTCCGGCCGTACGCTAGTAGCTTCGTGTCGTGTCGATGCGGCGTCGACCCCACCGCGGCCGTTCAAGGCTGAACGCTACCAGTGAGACGATCTGGCGATCGAAGAACCGCCGATCCCTTCAAGGTTGAACGATCCACGCGGTGTCAGAAACCACCGCCGGGGTCATCACGTCACGGACCTGTCGAATGTTGCCTCAGCGGCGTTGGTGAGCAAGGGGCATTCATTCTCCCTCTGGCGCTCCTCCCCCTTTTTCCCTCTCCTTCTTCTTCCTCGTCCCCCAATTCATATTTGTGTTTGTGTCTCCTGTTTAATTACTGTTGCCTTCGAACACGTGGCCGCATCCCCTGGGGTCTCAGGGAGCTCTGCATGGGGCCACGAAAAGTTTCAGGGGCGTGCCGAAAGGGACATGCGGTAGTTGGTGAGCCGCAAGTGGCCGCACCCTCTGAGGCCTCTGGTGGAGCTCGCTGTGGGGCCACGAAGCGTGTGAGGGATATGCCGAATTGGGCATGCGGTGGGCGGGGAGCCGCGTGTGACCGCACCCACTGGGGCTCTAGGTTGAGCTCCCTCTCGGGCCACCAAGCTTGTGAGGGGTGTGCCGACATGGACATGCGGAGGGGAGAGGCATTGGTGGGAGCACGGGAGTAGTGAGGGGGGCGGGAGGGAAGGAGATGCGGGGCGCTTTCTTTTCAAGACGAGGGCCCAGCATCACAGCGTGGCGGGGAGAACGAGCTTACTTCGCTCATGCTGCATAAGTCAAGCGCGCAACCGCTAAGAGTATGCAGCAGAAATGTTGCCTCCAGGGAGGCGGCCGCTCCGCCCGATGCCTCATCCTCCCCATCTCCCTCACCCCTCCTTGTCTTCCTCCTCCCGCTCCTCCCGCTCCTCCCGCTCCTCTCATGCCTCTCCTCCCGCTCCTCCGCTTGTCCTTGTTCGCCCGGGCGGTTCCGGAGGAACCCCGGGCGAACAACATGCCCCTGAAGCCGAGGACCCGCATGACAGCGTATCGGTACAAACATACGCCTCAACTAAAGTTCAGACGTGTGGTGAAACGGCTCATAGTGCCCGAGCCCTCATTTATCTCGTGCTAGACGCAAAGATGGAGATGTTCATGTCTATATGTTTGTTCAGATCAGCCTGTGCCCACGGTGTTCGCTGCCATTCAATTGTCGTGATAGGGATGTATATGATGTACGACTGTCGCTCAAACAAGACAGGTGTGCTACGGATCATGCGATGACCCCTCAATATGTTCAAGATGAAGCTGGCATTATGTGACCGTTCAGCGATTGAACATTTCTATTCGTATCTCAGTAGCACGTACACGTACGAGATGGTCGTGAGCGC